GTATTGGTACATATCCAAGAAATCATTGCCAAACCCAGTATCATGAAGATCTTCCTCTGAGTTTTGTTGTTTCAGGTCTTAATTAGATCTTTGATCCATTTTGAGCTAATATTTGTATATGGTGTAAGGTAAGGGTCCAACCTCATTCTTTTCACTTGAATGTCTATTTCGCCCAGCACCATTGTTCTTTCCCCATTGAATAGCTTTGGCACTCTTGTCAAACATCATTTGATCATATATGCTCTAGTGTCCATTTTTTCTTTCTTTGGAAAGGGCTTTAGGAATTTTAGTATGTTTTGGAAACCTGAAAAATAATTCACTTTCAATGTTTCCTACTTTTAGGTTAATCTCCTTTGCTATGTATACATTATTTTCTATGTGGACAGTGCACATAAGTGGATTATAGTTGTTACATTTTGAAATGTATATTTAAAGTTATTGTTTTCTTGGTATGTGATATGCTAGCAGACCAGATTTGAATAGTTCTCACTTAAAAAAAAGTAATAACAAGTCATGTTGGGATAAAAGATTTTTAAGTCTTCCAGTTCATTTGTCCTTGGTTGCCACTGGGGTTGAAGGGAAAAGGCACAGAGCATTTTAAGAGGAGAAATGGCTTTGTTGCTGTGTGACACTAGAATGGAAAATCCTCAGTCAAGCACAGAAATTTGGACATTGTCCTTCAACAAAAAGGAGACTCCCTGTGGGATCCCTTGAAATTTGGAATGGGCCAGTCCGTGGGCCCACCCAGTATCCATGCTGTTCCTCAACCCCCTTCTGATTTGAGGTCGTAGCGGTTAATGTGGAATTTTTTGTCTTATAGCTGGAGAATTTGGGGGTTATTTTGAAAGTATGATAGCTTTCACAGTTTTTAAAATGTACTCTCTTGTTCCTTAGGCTTCCTTGATCACTCATAGTATGTTCATTGCAGCTTCCAGTCAAGTCCTATTTATTTGTTTATTATCTTTTAAATCCTCACCCAAGAGCATGTTCATTGATTTGAGAGAGAGAGAGAGAGAGAGAGAGAGAGAGAGAGAGAGAGAGAGAGGAAAGGGGAGGGTGGCAGAGAGAGGGAGAGAGAAACATTGACTATCCACCTCCCACATGCTCCTTGACCGGGAATCAAACCCACAACCCTTTGGTGTATGGGATGATGCGCCAACAAACTGAGCCACCTGGCCAGGGCAAATCTCATTTATTTATTTATTTATTTATTTATTTATTTATTTATTTATTTAATGTATATTGGTGTTTTAATTTGACCTTCCCAGTGACAAACAGAATTTTAGGGCTAAATGATACCTTAGAAGTCTTATCTTCATATCCCTCTGGTTATATTATCAACCACATCATTATTTGTTAAAAAACTTATAAGGTTACAGCATTTATTTTAAGGTCACAGCTTTATAATGATTTAATGGCTTCACGGATGATTTAGTCCAATACTTGGTGATAGGTAAAGTGTGCGCATAATGTCATTTTGTACATTCTTTATTTCTCTAGCAACACCCAGCACCTACTTTTCCTGTTCACCACACCCAGATTTCATTTTATCTTCATTTTATCTACTTCACGTGGACTCCTCGCATGCACTTTTGCATAGAATTGTTGCTCTGTTTGTTACTAGTGGAATCCATGCTCAATTGTAGCTGGTTTTTCCCTTCTATATCTGCCTCTTTGATGGAGCTGGATTTACCGCTGCCCACCTATTAGTGCCCTCGGTCTCAACAACCATATTCAAACAAAACACCTTAAATGGAGGTATTAAAAAGGTCACAACAGTGAGCCATTTTGTAACTTTTGGTGCAATAAAATGGTTAAGTTATATTTGGAATATAAGATCTCTGAGCGCAGCTATGCATTTTCTTCATCTATAAAACACTCTAGAATAACAGCTTACATCTGTTTGGGGTTTTAAATTTTATGTTTTGAAGAAACATCACTGTTATGTAACTCCAAGCAGACCTGGGGAGCTCGCTGGCTTTCTGACAGGCCGTGCGTGTGGGGACTGTGGAAGCTGGACCAGTGTTTGCTCTCACTGTGCAGCCAAGTCTGCTGGCCTCCTTCCCCAGGTGGGAGCACACTTCACTGCTGTTTCTTCATATGCTAAACGACAAGATGCATTCAATGAGATTCTGGCTTGAAGAATATTTGAAAATTTTTCACTTGTTGGGAGTTTATCTTATAAGGGATTTAATGGCTTCAGGGATGATTCTAGTCCAGGGGTGGGCAAACTTTTTGACTCGAGGGCCACAATGGGTTCTTAAACTGGACCGGAGGGCCGGAACAAAAGCATGGATGGAGTGTTTGTGTGAACTAATATAAATTCAAAGTAAACATCATTACATAAAAGGGTACGGTCTTTTTTTTTTTTTTTTTTTAGTTTTATTCATTTCAAACGGGCCGAATCCGGCCCGCGAGCCGTAGTTTGCCCACGGCTGTTCTAGTCCAATACTTGGTGATAGGTAAATGTTTAAATAAGTTACCTGAAATTATTTCACTACCAGAAACCAGAAATAAATGTAATTATTTAAACATATAGGACATTTAATTACTTTAGACTGTCAATCTCATTTTAGAGAATAAAGTTGGGGTGTATTGTCTGCCCACTTTTACAGATACATGCCCAAAGAAATAGTTTGGCCATTTCAAATGTGTGATTTTTTAAATTACTTCTTTAGAATAAAGGAACAATTTAACGAATAGTGTTGAACAGAAGAAAATGGGCAAAATGTTCATCTACAGAATTCAAAATCTAATACAGGGTGGAGCAAATGTAGGTTTAAAGTTGTCATATGGAAAATAATACAACGACTAATAATAATACAAGAATAAGCTGCGTTTTGTGTACTCACAACTGTAAACCTATGTTTGCTCTACCCTCTATTATATATTAAGTACCAACTTAATGGGTTATTTTTATCAAGGGAAGAATATTAGCATGGCCAGTAACAATAAGTTATAAGATCTTTTTCATCTTATAAATGTGAACTATTTACATTCTTGTTAAAATGTGATGATACATTTACATGTGGGAGAAAAGAGTACAAAAAAGAACATTAAAATCATCTGTAATCCCTCTGCCTGTTGTCCTCTTGGTATTTTATTACATATTGTGTACTTAAAAAAATTAGGGTTTTGATAATTAATTTAATTGGGAGTACTTTAGTTTCAGAATGGACAGTGTCAGATGCTTTCATGGTTTTATGACAAAACTAAACTAAATTGCACTCCTATTGTAGCACTTCGCTGTATGGGGTAGGGTGAAGATGACAAACTTCTCTGAGATTCTAGTTTATCAGCTTAAACTAATTTATTGACATTGATTTTTTTTTCTCACTGCCATTTCCTGTCTGAATGGAAGACAGATTTTCTTTCTGTGGCCACTGTCAAGCCCAAGGCCATCATTTGTTCCAGCAGAATAAGAGAGCTTATGTCAGACTCTTAATTTCTGAATAAATATTTTAGAAGTGACTTAATGCCCTTAATTCATGGGCCATTAATTCCTTCAAAATTGTGGTCTCACATACATACACTCACATTGTTAATGTTCGAAGTCCACATTTACTCTTCACTTGCCGGTGACATGGGCCCTGGTCTGCCGGAGCATCCCTGGCACAGGCCCATGGGTCAGCGAGTGGATCTGAAGAGGCTGGTGGGTGGGTCCACTGGAATCCTGGTACTTTTATTTTAGGATATATGGAGTGGGTTCTATTTTTAGAATTTTGGAACGTTTAATTAGAAGCAAATAGATTATACTGAGGATGAATGTACTCTGGACAGATTAATGCAGTTAGATTTTTTAGGTAGAATACTAGACAGGGCTCTGGAGTCAGATTGTCTGGCTTCTTCATTCTAGCTGTGCCTTTAGGAGAGTTACATAGCTTCTTTGGACTTCCGTTGCCTCATCTATAAAACGAGGTTGGTAATAATACCTGTCTTATAGGGTTGTGAGGATTCAGTGAAGTAAAACCTGTGAAGTGCTTATTAGCACAGTGCCTGACACATGAAAAGTGCCTGGTAATTCTAGCTCTTCTTGTTACACAACAAATTGTCACTACCTGTTGCGTAGTGTGGTGGTTATGCCCACCGCTCATGCTCATTCCTGCAGATCACTCTTGTCCTTGCTGCTCTTGTGTGTACATCAGGCATCCAGGAGCCTCCACCCCTCCAGCATCGATAGGCTGCTCCTTCCTTGAGGGTGCAGAACTCCCCCGTCCACGCTGTGCTCCTCTGGTCCCTGCCTCAGCGTACTCCTCCAGTGGCTCTGTCTCCTCTTCCCTCTTCCCTCCCCTCCACCTGCCTTGCCCTCTCTGCCTTTCCTCGCTCATCTCCCTCTGGTCTCCCTCTCCTTTCCTTCTCACTCCCCTCCTCTCTCCCCCCTCTCTCCTCCCCCACTCTTCTCTCTCTCCATCTTCTCTCCTCCTTCCTCCTCTCCCTGTCCCCCTTCTCCTCTCTCTGCCCCTCTCCCCTCTCTGACTTCTCCCCTTCCCCTTCTTTTCGCCCACATTTTTTGGCCTTTCTCTGCTGCCTCCCCACTCGAGCTCTTTCTCCCTCTCTAGCTCTCCCCACTGCTCCCCATCCCTTCCTCTCTTTTAGCCCTAATACTTGGTCTGCTAAGGAGCAGACAGCTCTAGCTCTTAAGCAGAAATGTGCCAGGTCTTTAAAGCCTTTATTACTTGTGATGAGAAATATTCATTTTGTCATTTTAGTAGCCAAGGTTTCTTCATATTGTGCTTCCCTTCCACTCACAAAGGGCACCACAGCATCATCCGACTCACATGGGCTCAGAAAGTTAGTGGGACGCTGAAGGCAGTTACAGTTAACTTGTTTTCTAAACCTGTGTATTGTATATAGTAATGTATACATTTGTTTAATGTTAGCTTTATTATATACACAGTTAAATGAAATAATGTTCTCATTAATAATTATGGGTTTGTATAGTCATGCTAGGCAAAGTCTGAGCTTCTCTGCCTAATTTATTTCTTTTCTTCTCTCTTCAGATTCCCTTCTCATTGGTCCAGTTTCCCTTGTGGGAATCCTTAAAAGTAAGTTTTCCAATCTTCATATAAAATTGCTTTCTAATTATCATAAATACCCAATTGTTTCAGTTTGTAATAGAAGAATATAATATTGATTAGTAGTTTAAAAACTCAAAAAAATTTTAAAATACGTTTTTATTGACTTCAAAGAGGAAGGGAGAGGGAGAGAGAGGTGGAAACATCAATCATGAGAGAGAATCATTGATTGACTGCCTCGTGCACACCCCCCACTGGGGATCAAGCCTGCATCCTGGGCATGTGCCCTGACCAGAATTGATCCCAGGACCCTTTCATCTGCAGGCTGACACTCTATCCACTGAGCAAAACTGGCCAGGGCTCAAAATTTTTAAGAGTTGAAAATATTTTTTACGTGTGGTTTACATGCCAGTTCAGTCTTTTAAACCTGCTCAGTGTCTGTGGTACTGAGAGATCATCCTAACGGCGTAACCTAATCCTCAGGTGTTAAGGGAAACTGTGCTTTACTCTCTTTTGTATTTCTGCTCTACCCATAGACTTTTATTTCACTTCCGTGTGTGTGTGTGTGTGTGTGTGTGTGTGTGTGTGTGTGTGTGTGTAGAAGTTAAGGAATGACGATGAGGGTAAATGAAAAGGGAAAAAAGCAAGGCCCTGATTGTTAGGCCAGCCCCCTCACCCCCATAACTGAGGGTGAGCAGCAGGGGGCGTGCTGCTCTGACTGCCACCTTCCTTCTGCTGTCACCCAATGAGCCTAGGAACCCCCTGAGAAGGAGCCGCGGAAAAAAGGAGACATTTGTAATACTTTAAGAAATAAAAATTATTATTAAAAAAAAAAAAAAAGATAAAAACCTGTTTTCAAATATGCAGAGACGTATTTTTTCATTTTCTGATGCGATGATTTTAAAAATTGTGGGTCATGCTATGAACTGTGTGGGTGTCTGCCAGCCTTTTAAAGACTGTGATAAGAGGGGCGTTAATAACAGAGATCGCCCTATGTGGTAAGGTTGAGTCCTGCTTTGTAAGACTTCGGTGTTGTGTGTGCATGCACACGCATCTCTGTCCTGGCTGCACTGTACCATGTACTTCTCACTGTGGATAATGATCAAAAGACTTTGAAAGCCCTTGTTCAGGTTGATAAATGACCAAGCTATAAACTGGCAAAGTGTCTAGGCAGGCCTTTGGTAACACAGAAAGTAAAGGATTGCTCCCATGGCTGAGGGAGTCAGTAACCACGGTGTGCTCCCGCCGCTTCCCCTGAAGAATAGCAGACTTATCTAGACTAAAAATATTCTGTGGAGTTCATAATGTGAGGACAATAAAATGAGACAAAACATTAATCATGAAAAATAAACTCTGGAATATTATGTATTTAGAAATAGTTCTGATTTTAAGGAGTAGTACAGATTACCTAATACAGGTTTTGGGGTCTCTAATGGTTGTGTTTGGTTTTTACCCTTTTCTTTGGGTGCTTGGTGAAATGGGTCTCTCAGGCGGTTTCCGGGCATGATGTAGCAGCGCTCCCAGGAGAAGGCTGCATTCCATGAGCATACAGCTCCCCTTTTTTGCGTGTGACAAAGGAACAATGGAGCCAGCAGCTGTCCAGAAACAAGACTCGCTTCATTAGTGTCTCAATAACTGGCATTCACCCCTCTCTGCACTCTGACTTCCTATTCCCTGTCTGCGTAGGAATGCTTTGATGCCCAAAGAGGGAAGCATGGGGTTTATTTCTTTTCAGTGTTAAGGACATTTGTAGTATTCTTGTTAGTTAAGAAATATCTAGAATTTTTCAGAGTAATCATAGATAACAATGTTGAGCTTTAACAATTTTCTTTGAGCAAATGTTAAGATGCTATAGTTGTTGTTTTTTAAGTTGGATTTATTGAAGAATAATTTTCAGATAGCAAGATTCAACCTTTATAAGTACATTTTTTTCAATATGTTTTTATTAATTTTTTTTTTGAGAGAGAGAGAGAGGAAGGAAGAGGAATAGAGAGATGAAAACATCCATGAGAGAGAAACATTGATGGGCTGCCCCCTGCACACGCCCTGCACTACGCCCTGTGGGCCTCTCCTCTGTTCTTTTTGGACAGGCCAAACTGGTACTCACCCTAGGGCCTTTGCATTTGTTGTGCCCTCGCCCCCTACTGGGAATCAAGCC